GCGCAATATTTTTTTTTCCTCGAGAGACATCATGGCTTGCAAACGAGCGAAGCATGGCAGTTGCCCCGCCTCTCTCCTCCTCATTAGCATTTAACGCTACAGACACAGAAATGGCACGTCCTAAGGAAAGCTCATTGTGGGACTGGCTCGTAGTGGCTGAAATTCTGCACCAAGGCTGAATTTCGGGAAAGAGACTTCAGATACAGTACTAGGGACCACTTAGGCCTATATAAAAGCATCCAAAAAGCAGCATGTCATGGGACCTTTAAGCTATTTAAAAGCGAAGGAAAGCGAGGAAAAATTCAAACAAACTAAAAACGTACAAGTGCTTTACTCCGAATTGCCACTATTGGAAAGTGAAAGTAAAATGCGCACGCCGCTTTTACAAGCTATTTAAAAGCGAAGGAAAGCGAGGAAAAGAGGGAACGCACCCGCGGTGATACCATGTTTTTAGATCCGCGTGCGTTTGGTGTTAAAGAGACAGCAGCCTAATAAACGCGCTTCATGTCATTAATGTTAATCAACCTCAAAATTCATCCTTTGAAACCCATTTTAAAATCCGACATAGCATTACCATGAAAATGGTACATCAAAATCATGTCACAAAATGTTTTCATTCATGAATTATGAAAAATGTAAGTTTGGATCGTGAGCTTTCACATCTACGTTCAAAAATGTGAGTGACAATTAAAGGGTTAATTAATCTATATTTTATTTAAAAAAAGAAACCTATGCAGTGTTTTTTTTTACTTTTAATTACAGTTTCTGTAGCTGAAATTTGGTTCAGTTGTATTTATTTATGCTGTTTCTAATTGATTTGTTCATTCCTATTTTATCACTGACTGTTTACTTGTCTTTAACACTTATATATTTGAAATTTATATTAGTCTAGTTGTTTTTGCCGTGGTGTTTTTGTTAAAAGCATGAGCAAAAGTTCCTCTTGTAGGCCGAAGTGTTCTGATTTTTGCTCGTGTTATTCAGCTGCAACAGAGCGCTTCGTAAAAAGACACAGAATAAATGTTTGACTTCATTTTTTATTTATCTTATTGGAATCGTTACGAATCGAAATCGATAAAATTCAAACGATACCCAACTCGATTTATAAAACGACAATAAAGAGCAACACTGTTGTTGTGTTTCATTCCTTTCATCAGAGCCGCTCTTTGATAATTCAGCAGGACGGTTTGTAACATGTTGAGCAACAGGAAGTGACTGGTTTTGTGCTCCAGGGTCACATACGTTGAGCAACAGGAAGTGACACGTACCATCTTCTCTTCCTGTCTGCGGCGCTGGTCGATCTTCTGCTGCTCCTCCAGAGCCAAACGCTCCCGCAGACGCCGCTGGTTCTTCAGCATCTCCTCGTGGAAGGAGCTCGAGGGAGGAACGTTGTGCTCCGTCAATAAACCCTGAACACAATCCGCCAACTCGTAGATCATCACCTGAGGAAGAGGAAGAGAAAGAGGAAGACACGACGCCATAAAACAATACCATTCAAACAGAGCCATCCTCTTCTGCAGCACCTCCTGAACTCTTCCATTTATTTATATTACAGATATTATATACATTTATATTTAAATAATTATATCAACATTATTAGTTTTCACTGCATTGCAGTAAATATACGGGCCTATTTTATTATTATATTTAAATAATTAATTTTATAAATATTTTCCTTTTTTACAACGTTGAAGTAAATCATATGTGCCTATTTTATTATTATTATAATTAAGTAATTAATTTTATAAACATTTTCCTTTTTTACAGCATTGAAGTAAATCATATGGGCCTATTTTATTATTATTTTATTATATTTAAAGTTAAATTAATTTTATGAACATTTTCCTTTTTTACAGCATTTAAGTAAATCACATGGGCCTATTTTATTAGAATTTCTTTATTATAATATTAATTTTATATTTATATTTATAGTACTTATATTAACATTAATTTTCACAGCACTGAAGTAAATCACATGGGCCTAGTTTATAATATTTTTTTTATTATTATCTTATTATTTTTTAATTATTAAAATATTATTATTATTTATTATTCTTTTTTTTTTTTTTTTATTCAACTATAATAAGAAGAACCATTATTAATAATTGAGTACCAATAATAAATCAGCAAATCAGCATATTAGAATGATTTCTGAAGATCATGTGACACTGAAGACTGGAGTAATGATGCTGAAAATACAGCTGCGCATCACAGAAATACATTACAGTTTAACAGATATTCACATAGAAAACAGCTGTTTTAAATTGTAAAAATATTTCACTGTTTTTACTGCATAATGTTCGAAACGTCTGCGAGCGTCTCACCTCTCCGCATCGGTCTTGGGCCAGTTTGTCGAGCTCTTTCTGGAGTCGCTCTAGTTTGTCGTATGACAAGCCTTTAGCGTTCTTCAGCTCCAGCTCCGGAGGCCTGACGACACACGATCAAATCACAATCATTCAGAAATCAGTCATGCACTTTAAAAACAGAGACTGCTTGAACTGTGAGACACAGTCGTGTATACATGGCCTTTGACCTTTACCTGCACATTGTTGTGCTCGTCATAACAACACTTTTGTTTCATTCAAGAGTGTATTTATTAGTTATTATAGTTAACTAAAGCCATTATAAAAACATTCTGTTACTTGAAATGAAATAAACATTACATGAAATAAAGTATTAACAAAACTAGGCAACATTTCCCATTTTAATGTAGTTTACTTTATCTACTAAAATAACTAAAACTGAAATATAAACTAACAAAAAGCTGTTAAACATTAAAAATATATTTAAAAATTACTTTAAATATATTAAGAATTGTTACAAAAATTGACTAAAATTAAAAACTATTTTAAACTATTTCAAGCTATTACAAATTGTAACGGTACCTTGATAAAATAACACTGATCTCTGTGACAGTAGACTTTGTAGAGTAATTTGCAACAGCTTTGAACACGGCTCAACCAATCAGAATCAAGCACCGGAACTATCCGCTTTATAAAAAAAACACAAAACCTGTGCTACTTGAAAGAAAATGAGTTGACAAAAATATTAAATCCATGATTTGTTGATGATATAGCATAATCGGAGATTTACAAGCAGTTTTTAAAAGGCCGCTCATTTTTAACTGGGAACTTTTAGCAGAGCACAAATTTTAAAATCTCAGGGAGACTTCAGGTAATGAATTATTAATCATTATTATTAGCCTAATAAACAGACTGACACTCACACATCAGGATATGTCGGTGGACATTTGACCTGCAGGTCCACCGAGACGTAACTGGTCTGTCCGTAAGCGAGTCCCTTCGGCCGCAGGGTCAGGTAAACCTCTGGAGGACGACTGCCCTACAAAACACACCAAAAACACTGGAACCGGACAGTGTAATATCACGTGATGCACTGAGCTCATTAGCATATGACACGCCCACACAAACACTGGAACCGGTCAATATAATAACACATGATGCACTGAGCTCATTAGCATATGACACGCCCACACACAGGAACCGGACAGTATAATAATAACACATGATGCACTGAGCTCATTAGCATATGACACGCCCACACACAGGAACCGGACAGTATAATAATAACACATGATGCACTGAGCTCATTAGCATATGACACGCCCACACACACAGGAACCGGACAGTATAATAACACATGATGCACTGAGCTCATTAGCATATGACACGCCCACACACAGGAACCGGACAGTATAAGAACACATGCACTGAGCTCATTAACATATGACACACCCACACACACTGGAACCGGACCATATAATAACACATGATGCACCATCTCAGGGAGACTTCAGGTAATGAATTATTAATCATTATTATTAGCCTAATAAACAGACTGACACTCACACATCAGGATATGTCGGTGGACATTTGACCTGCAGGTCCACCGAGACGTAACTGGTCTGTCCGTAAGCGAGTCCCTTCGGCCGCAGGGTCAGGTAAACCTCTGGAGGACGACTGCCCTACAAAACACACCAAAAACACTGGAACCGGACAGTGTAATATCACGTGATGCACTGAGCTCATTAGCATATGACACGCCCACACAAACACTGGAACCGGTCAATATAATAACACATGATGCACTGAGCTCATTAGCATATGACACGCCCACACACAGGAACCGGACAGTATAATAATAACACATGATGCACTGAGCTCATTAACATATGACATGCCCACAGACACTGGAGCCGGACAGTATAATAACACATGATGCACCCACTGAGCTCATTAGCATATGACACGCCCACACAAACACTGGAACCGGTCAATATAATAACACATGATGCACTGAGCTCATTAGCATATGACAAGCCCACACACAGGAACCGGACAGTATAATAATAACACATGATGCACCGAGCTCATTAACATATGACACGCCCACACACACTGGAACCGGACCGTATAATAACACATGAAGCACTGAGCTCATTAACATATGACACGCCCACACACAGGAACCGGACCGTATAACACATGATGCACTGAGCTCATTAGCATATGACACGCCCACAGACACTGGAGCCGGACAGTATAATAACACATGATGCACTGAGCTCATTAGCATATGACAAGCCCACACACAGGAACCGGACAGTATAATAATAACACATGATGCACTGAGCTCATTAGCATATGACACGCCCACACACAGGAACCGGACAGTATAAGAACACATGCACTGAGCTCATTAACATATGACACGCCCACACACACTGGAACCGGACCATATAATAACACATGATGCACTGAGCTCATTAACATATGACATGCCCATACACACTGGAACCGGACAGTATAACAAACACATGCAGGGCAAAACACTGAGCTCATTAACATATAGTGGTCCTGTGGCTCAGTGGTAGAGCATTGCGTTAGCAGCGCAAAAGGTCGTGGGTTTGATTCCCAGGGAACA